CACTGGCTACTTAACTTGGTCGAATTCAGCTACTGTCTGGAGGTCAATTCTAGAGGTCGGTCGCTCTTATCGCTCGTTTTCCGCGGTTTCTCCGATCAATACCAGGCGAATGCCAGAACTGTACCCTAACAAACGGGCCACGGACCCCGCGCGATCTTTCCTTCCTCTTTCTTGTCCTATCCTCGCTCCCCACTTACACACATACACTTACATGCAATTCACTATTTCATAAGTGGGGAGACCAGTCGGGAGCGTAGGGTTTGTCTCGGCTGGGGCGGTGCTCCGCTGATGGAAAATCCCTGGTTGGGAAAAATAACTGCAAAATGTTTCCATTTTTTTTCTTTAAACGTTCTCTTCGTATGAACGTAAAGAACGGCCAAAAAAGTGGTGTCATTTTCGGCGAACACTCTATATTTTCTAAGATTACGAAAAGTTAACATTGCGAAACAATAATACTGAAGATAGAGATTACTGCTTTAAACAAAATCTGTTCTAAAAAATCAGCTCTTTAAAAAGAGCCATGTACAATTTTTTTTGAAAAAAGTAGATTTTGCGTAATTTGTGTTTGAAATTAATGCAATTTATAAAAACAACTTTCTCAAAAATTGCTTGAATTTTTTGTATTTAATTTTTTCACTGTTAAATGAAGGACGTTAAAAAGAATGTCGCTCGTCTCATTTTCGTTGAACTACATGAATTTTCGAAAAGTGCCAAAATTAGAAATAATGCGAGAAAGTATGTGCTCTTGTAGCTCCACAAGTTTATGTATTTAATATATCATATCTACATAAAACCTCAAGCTGTATGTGTGTTGTGCGTCTCCTGTTGTTCTTTGTCTTTTAGCTGGTTAGTCATCATTGGGACTCGAACTTGAACTTGGGTTTGTTCTTACAAGATCTGGGTGAGTAAGTTCCATAAGAGACACTTCTACTGGTGGCTTGTGATTGTTGAAGTTGATGGTGTAGTAGTGTCTGTTGTTCTTGTAGAGGCTGCCATTGCACGCTATGCTGCTGGTGCATTTGTAGCATGAACTGGAGTTGTAACTGTCGTAGCGGTTGTAGCTGTTGTTGGTGATGTTGTTCCATCTGCTGTAGTTGCTGTTGCTGTAGTGTAGTTGCACTTGTTTGTAACGCACAAATTTTGAAAATAGTTGCACATGCGATTGTACACCTTCCATTTTTTAACTGTGATTCACTGAATGTGTTTCAATGTTGTTCAAAATGACTGTAGTCTGTAGGATGGCACAACATTACACTTAAGTTATCGCAATATGTTTGCTTATAGCACGGAAGCAATGTCGAAGTTGTGATTAGAACTACCTCAGACACGATGTTTTCACCGAACTGCTCCTAGAAGGTGATGAGTAGCTGTATATTCTTTGCGACTGAAAAATCTTTAGATTGGAATTAATTTTCAGCATGATATTTAAATTCAAGCATCAATAAATACACTACTTTATTCTTTCTTAACTCAGCTGTATTGTTTGGGTCTGTATGACCCCCAAAAAACGTTATGCTCTCACTGGCATGCTCTCTCAGAATGAATATTCCTATGCTTCGTGACTTTATCTCTCAAATCTTTAAATTGATGTACGATTTGTTGGTCTATTTGTTGTAATTCCCCTAAAAAATGGAATTGTTACTTATGTAGGGTTCGAGTCTATGTGGTCCGATTGTTAAAAATCAACTAAACTAATGTACGGTATGAGAAATTGCAATAAGGCAGCAGAGCTTTATGTTTTGATAACATATAAGCAAGCTTACATGTTACCTGCCTCTTGAAGAGAAGGAAAAAGGGTATGGAAGATAAGTCTGGTCTAGCAAGTAGTTCACTGTAATGACAATTTTACTTAAAATTATCTCTGCACATCATCGATTTTTGAACAATTGTAATAATAAAAATGAGAATTCTGGGCACAGGGAAAAATGAATCCAGAACGCTTACTTAAATAAGAAATAGAAACGTTCAAAATACTTCTTTCCGCATCGTTTTCTTAGTGGTAAACTATTTTCCAAAGATGAAAATATGTGAAGAATTAGCACATTCCCTCAAGGTAAAACAATAAGTAGCATTGCCACAAAAAAATTAGACTTCAGTAAGATGATAAAAGCTGCTGAGAACCTTATCAGCTTACAAATGCATTCGCTTACAGGTACAAAATTAATCACCGGTCATACATTCTGGGTAACAATATGATCGGCATTTTAACATAAATGATTTCGCGTAATGGTTTTCAATAAATTCTGTTTGGATTAAAAAAACATTAACACAATGATTTTGGTGAACGTGATAAAGTCTCACATTTGTGAGTTTAGGGGAATTTGGAAGTATCACACGAAATAATTACTCGCAGCAATGGTCGAAATGAGGAAATTTCAACATTTGTTTCACTATTTACTGGTCTCATGTAATTGTTGTAAATTTCCCTATAGATGGCAAAAATAAAATACTGGTGTCCGAATATGTTCGTAAAAGCTCGTAATATGTAAAAGAACAAATAAAACAAAGTCGAAAACAGTATCATTATGAGTAAAACTCTACCCAATCGCATCTTGAAAAGTGAGCAAAACTTTTCCGTCACCGTGTTGGGCTGAACTTCGTTTACGCCACGGTTTGTATTACCTTACTGAGGCACTTTGCTGACGAATGACCAGTCGAAAGAGAAACCTTCGTAAAGTGTATTTGTTCTAGTTATTGCTTACAATTGTTTTCAGTGCGCGTTGATAGATATATTGCAGCAATGTTGCACTGCTTCATCATAAATACATATTGTGATAAAAGTCTATTTCCGATCAATATTACTATAATGCTTTCGTCGCGTGTCGGTGCGCTATTTGCTATCTCACATGTGATACACCGAGATGTGTAGCCATTTTAAAAGTTTATGACGAAGTAAGAATGATTGTCAATGACGTACCTATTCACGACGACGTCGGTGATCTGTTGAGACTTATGACTGTGGACTATATAGAATCTATAAAGTAAAATATTTTTCCGGTGCCCTGACATTAATGTAAGTCATTGCCCAGGTTTCTAAAAAAAACATTGATCGCGGGATGATAAGCGAGTAAGATTACCAAGAGTGCCAAATTCGTGTAATCCCAGTTGTCATTAATTTCTTTGAAGAAAATAGCACGAATTATTTTCACATTGCGTTGTAGTTTACCTGTACATATTTTTAGAATACAGTTTATCAGTGTCAGAAATATTGCTAGGGTACGAAAAATGTTTCAAGAAATTTTATTCAAATGAAACATCATTTTATTCAAGGGAATTCAAATTTTATTCTACTTTTACTAACTCATCCGTTTTCAATTTGTTATAAATCTCATAACTGAATAACTTCAGTGAATATAAATATATGCCATTATATGACATTCAACTTTATAAATAGGTACATCCAACAATTCCCATTTTAATCATCTCTAGTAAGCAAAACACCACTCTCGGTGGCTCGCTGGCTCGCGTGCTCGCTTTCCACGGCGCAACCCCGTCTTCGATTCCTGCACGGGGCAAAATAATAGCTGTGCGATTTCCGTACAAATGTCCCTGTATCTATTGGTCTGTGACGATGAGAAAGGCCACCCTAAGATGAAGAAGGGCAGTATGTACGGCAGCATATACAAGCCCCTTCTTCCATGGCCAAACGGCTGGGCTAGCGCTAGTCGGCCATGATCCCTATCGGGCTGTCGAGAGAAGGATAAAACATGTGCAAAACGATTTTCCGAGTCATATAGCAGAGACCAGCAGTACTCGTAGCCCCGGGAGACTCGTAGACCGAACAGTCAATATAACCGTCTACTAAATTTGAACATTACAGCAGGGTAAAGAAAATAAGATGAGTTATGTCGGCTTCAGTACTTAGAAATCATCGTCTTTTAAATATGAGCGATAAATATTTCTTGATTGCCCGTCTTGTTTTTTGAAGAGGTGACGTACCAACACAGTTGTTAGATGAATTGCGAATTTAACACGTTTGACGTAATCCCTTGATTTAATATAACGGTTTGTGTAGTAAAATTAATCATTGTGTAGATATATGATAACAAGACAAATATTTAATTTATTTTCTAATGTTATTTTGCAACCTTCCATAATTTAATTATCTTTCATTCAATTTTAACACTTGATTTGTAACTGTTGTCTTCTCATACATTTAATTAATTTGTATAAAACTTCATTATTGTAGGCAACATAGATCTTTTACATTTCTTTATTACAAACCCCTAAAAATCATATTTACAGAACATTTCGGAGTACAGTTTACTCCACTTTCAGAGAATAACAGTTCAAATATAAAACAGTACTATAAGAGCCAATAATTAACATATATATTCTCATTAAAATGACATAATAAACACGTCGTTTATAAACATTAAGACATCAACTTAATCAAGTCTTCTTATAAAATGTAATTTATATGGAAGAGATGGTCTAAATATCAATGTGTCTATGGTACATATGTACTGAGAGTTTCCTATGGAAAGATGTCAGTTTATAATTAAATATTGTGGTGAGTGGAATATAATAAAACGTGATTAAGTTGGTGCCCTAATGTTTATAAATGACGGGTTTATTATGCCAGTTTAATGAGAAGACATATGATACTTTATTTGCTCTTATTATATTGTTTTATATTTGATATGTTATAGCCTGAAGATGGAGTAAACTGTACTTCGAAATGTTGATTAAATATGATTTTTACGGGTTTGTTATAAAGAAATGAAAAGGATGAATTGTCTATATTAATGATTAAAGCTTTATACAAATTGATCTTTCAATCAAGTTAATTAATTGCAAATACATAAAACATATATATACTTTGCCCACATCTTTGTCCAAATTCTTGAGTTTATTCTTACATCAATTATGAAAAAAAGATGTCATAACATTTACATGTAGTAACGAACCCTGTATAATGAGAAGATTGCGGAACTACATTTTTATACATTAAGTGATTATACATTAATCTAAAGCTGCTTTTTTGTTTTGTTTTACAGCCTACAAGTGGAAGAAACATCGTTACAGAGTATGATCCACGAAAAAAGGGAACGAGAACAGAATTAGCTGACCTGGTGCTAAACAAGTAAGTTCATAATTGTGCGAACTGCCAATGCGTCTTTGTATTGGTTTGTGCATGAGTTGCCACTGGGCGCCGCGGGGAGTTCTGGCAGAAACGAAGTCGTTAAGATGCTTACGGAAAACGTTTGGGAGGTGTATGCGTCTCCTGCGTTGTAGAGTATTCTGTGAGACAGCTGGGGTGGGCGGCCCACTTGGTGTGCCCCGGGCCAGCTTGTATCTGCGGGCACCCGTGTGGCCCGCTGCTCGTTGGGTCAACCCGCTAGCAGGGCGGAGGACGGGAGAGAAGGCGCTCCTCGTATTGCTGATAGAGGGGTGAGGAGGGGTAAAGGCACAGATGTGTGGCACCTATATTGGCAATGCATGCGCTAGCTGGGGTAGGTTCAGATTTATTTAATAAAAAACCATTAAAAACTGTATGTGACCTATGGTAGAGAAGATTATCTGCGCACGTTTTCTTAAGTCCCAAAATCCCTTCCCGTCATTTTAACTATAAATAAAAATAAGTTTTAAAGAAGCGCGAGATTAGTAATATTTGTCAAAAAAAAAAATAAACTAGACATTTTCGTTCCCGAGTTATAGAAAACTTATTTGCATCGGTAAACGAATTGCAGGTATGATTTTTCTGCATTGCTAACAAAATAGCAACTTGCCCTTACCACTACTCCTACCATTACAAGCAAAAGGAGAATTCAACAAATCGTGCGCATAGTGAAGCTACATTTACGTCCAGAAGTAAAACAAGGGGCCGTCTCAGCATTTGCTCAATATTTTTATATATATCACTGTTTTGTTTAAATAAACATTATTTTTTCTTTTTGATAATCAGTGGTAATCAATTGTAGCAGTGAAGTCAAGAAATTGCGGGTGTCGCCATCTTTCTATCAGCCCGTTCTGAGGCGTTGTACATAAATGCAAGGCAGATGGATTGTATTCTCATACTTATTTACGAGTTAGTAAATTTTTTATAGTTACGAGTAATAATCGTAATAAAGTGAATCACTGATACATGGGTTTAATTTTAAACATTTCAAGAGCTCTTCAGAGGATGACACTCAAAATATTACTCTGTAATTCATACGCATCGCACCTTTATAAATTCAATTATGTTCTATATAGAACCAGACGTATTACACGTTTCTGAACTGTATAGAAACAACTTAGACTTCATTGGAGCTAACTTAATTAATCAGCCATTAAATAGTTCAATGATCAAAATTAAAGGTAAACTAGCTTTATAACAGTTGACGATTGGAAACAACATCGGTAAAGCGAGTACTTTAGAAGCAAATTTAACAAATAATACATTTAAAACTTCACTTCTCTCATGGGTGGGTCGCGTCTTGGTTTGCTCATCCCTGTGCGCTGAATGAAAAATTACAGTATACACGCATGGTTGCTCGTCACATGATTCAACCAGATCGTAATCGCGGGCCGCCCAGCGCACTGCGCCGAGGAAGAGTGCTGCTTGCTCTCTGCTCTTTCTTGTAGCTCCATCGGCAGACGAAGCAGATTACGTCACCTTTTATCGATTGGTGGCATGCGACACAGTGGGTCGTGTTCTGTTATTCGGGGTATTTTCCATTGCTCGAACTGAAAACGACACACTGCTCTGGGAAAGGATATTACGACAGAAAAAAAAAGTAAAATATTTCTGTAACATTTACTAGTAATACACCTATTTTTGTGATTTGAAAATAAAAAAAGTTTCCAATGAAGCATGGAAATAAAAGTTTATTTTTGCAGATTTCACCAGATATGCAAAATATTTAGTTGCAAAAGAGTGCTCAATCACATTAAGAAATTTAATTGCTGAGACATTACAGTTTATTATGTTGTTGATTATGAAAAGTATTCTAAACGTTACGGACAAAATATTACTAAATACGTTAATAAAAGATATACTGACAGTAAAGGAAATTAAAAATGAAGTTAATTGCGAAATAAATTATTTTTCTTAATGCATTTCACCCTGTGTTCTGTTATAGTAGGCCTACTTTTCATTCGAGATTTAAAAATTATCGAAGAAAAAATACCGCTCACAATTGTTGATCGTTGATCCATACATTCTTAATATTCGAGCAGCATTGCGATGCAGTTTCGGAAAACGTTTTTCAGGGACATTCTCACAAAATTCTAATAAATGTTTCTTTTGTTCGAAATGTTTCCCTAAATTCTGTGTGACACTGCAAATCTGTAATTTATAATTGAAAATCACAAGGAACAAAGCCTACTTCAAGAGAAATATGTGTAGCATGTATATTATATCTTAATTGTAAATCAAACAAATCCATAAATCGGGTTTCAAATTCCGATCGCAATGTTCTAAATATATCTACACACTCTCCAAAATTGGATGTTTCGTGAATTTTTGACACTGAAGCTAATTTTCAGAAGAACATACTTTTTTTCCAAAACGGGCAGTTTTAAAATAATTAAAATTAACCTCTTTTATATTGCGTCATATTGCGCCAGGAATGTCTCTCCGCACTGAGCCGAGTCAGGGTCTCGTATTAGAAATTGCATTTTTGTTGGTAGAAACCAGATCACTAAGAAACAATTGAAGGGAATAACACTTCCAGCGTCTGCAATGGTTGTGGTGAGTACGCAATTTACGGTTTCAAGCTGCAGCTCCAGCTACCAACACAGATTTTGTTGCAAGAATTCTCACCTGCAAGGTTCCACTGCGGAGAGACAGTGCAAACTTCCTACGTTCCTCTTCAGAGTATATGACATATTCAGCTGCAAGATTAACTGTACAATAATAATTATCGTTGCAAATTAAACTTCAAACTACAAACTTAACAATTGGCACAGCTGCCGCAATCTTCGAAAATGTACTTTCCTTCCCATGCTGCATTGAAAATTGTCGGTGTGGACACCATGGAGTGCGAAGTGCTCGCGTCGACTTCCGTTTCGCGACTGGAGTTATCGGGACGCAGTGACAGAGGTTATCGCCAGCGACGCTGGGCCTCCGGTGTCTTGCTCCAGGTACCCAAAACGCCTCCGCGCTCCGGATTCGCTCAGCATGTGCAGCACTTAGCTGATAAAATATAATTTAAAGTAATCATTACAGTAATAAATTATCATTTATTGACCTTTTCATTTTGCAAAATAAAAGGATGCAGTTGGCCAACAAATTAAGGTCAAGAAAAAATATAATTTAAGTACCAAAAGACCATATTGCCAACTGGCAATAATTCTACCCGTACAATGTTAAGTGAAGAGTTGCATGCGCCGCCAACTAACCTTCTCCCGCTTATCTTCACTTGTAGGGGTATCACTGCGAATCTACTTCTATATATCTGTGGGGACTGAATTGCAGTGAAAGGGGAGTGGCATGCAGGTTACCGTAGCGGATAGTTTGACCCAAAATTTTACATTGGTGTAGGCTTGTACTACAAGAAAGGTAATATGATAATGAACTAGGGTAAATACAGTAGCAACAAGGAGAACACAAATTATTCTGAACATACGTGGAGATTTAGGGTTCATTTATTTTTATTCATTAAAGAATAAGTGCTGCTACAACAAAACATTCTCTCGCATTAATATCTACGGCTACCTACAATTATACCACTACTTGAACCTCCAAATATGTTTCCAATTTTTTTCCGTGCTGAGATTTCAACACGTGTTCTTAGGTTTAGCAAGTCATCCAAGTAACCCTAACACTACCGGCTTCTCAGATAAACCGTTCCCAATTATTTAAAACCGAAATTGAACATTTGCATTAGTATTCATTGAAATAGGGTATTTTCATTAGTATTAATTTAAGATCTAGTTCAAAAAAATATAAAAATATCTTTATCTTAATATTATAGTTATAAGAAGACGGCTTAAAGTTTTAAGTTTTTCAATTTTCGATAATACAGTGACTAACAAAAATAGGACTAGGGCCATTTTTATATGCATACTTCTATTCAAAGAAGAAAAAAAATGTCTAAAAAACGTTGAGGCATTTTCTAGAAAATGTCTTTTAATTTTCCTTTATTTCATCCAAAATTACGTGAAAATTACTCATATACTCATACATGTATCTTACTTTTACTCATATGTTCCATATCTAAATATAGTGCAATCGATCAATACTCCGAAACAGCATCAAATTATTCAATATCTGTCGATTATTACAAATTATTCAATATGTTGCTGTCGAATTCTACAGCACCATCTGTAGAGTAGGAAATTTGCGTGATCGTATCACCACTGCTTTCCTTTAGTGCTTTGTTGTGGTGGCGTAAGACGTACTGGAAAAGTAGAGTAACTCAACAGCACATACTTTCTCCAATAATTTCTACCTTTTGCAATTTTAGAAAGAACTTTTGATATATTCAGAGAGTTGAACGGCATTGAGACGCGACATTCTTATAAGCGACCATTGTTCCAACAGTAGAAAAAATTAAAAAAGATTGGAGCAGTTTTTGAAATATTTTTCCAAAAGTAGCATTGATTTCATGTAGACATTACACGAACACTACTCGGTTATTAAAAAAGTAGATGGCCTCATTTAAAGATATGGATGCGATTTATCCACTTTTTGATACCACAACCCAACAATACGAGTATTTCTGTCGAATATGGCAGATTTATTCCTTAGTATATCAATAGTTTTCTCTTCACACCGTAAACATGTAGTAAGGCAAAAAAGTAAAATTGTAGGATCCTGTTGACGGTTTGCACTTTCGAGTTTGTTTGCTCGTACTTCGGCGACTGCTATTTACATAAACCAATCTCGAATGTCTCCGACACAAAATTATCGATATTTTATTCCAAAATAGCGTAGATCCAAAAATATTCCTGGTTTTTGTCACCCTTGCCGCAGCGCCTTCAAGCGGTCTCCTTCTGTGTTAAACGACAACCGGAACCTCTAATGGCCCCTTGATTATAATTGTTTCACGCTAATGACCCGTTTTGAAAGATTCTAAAAATGTTGAAAGTAGCCAACTTGCAGGGCTTCTCTCACTCCCTCCGTCTCTCCCTCTCCGTCTCTCCCTCTCCGTCTCT